CTTGTTAACCTAAAAAAAGTCAGTTGAACTGTTAAGTGCCCAAGTAAAACAGGACCAAGATCTTTGTATCGGTTTTCTATGTATGGGGGATTATTTAATGAAAGCAATGTCTCTCTCAAATACTAAGAATCTTGCTAGATGGTTATTTCAGGAACAAACAGTTACCATGAACATATTGGCTGCAGACAGGACCTTCTTCAATGAATGAAGTCTGGAAACAGCAGCAAAAAGAAATTTACTTTCAGATCAAACAATATCATCTTACTGGAGTATCAAAAGCCACTTGCCAGGGGAAGTGATCTGAAGTTAAACCAAGGCCAGGGGAAGAAAGGCAATTGATGATTTTCCATAATGTTTGAAAGCTGAAATTAACCTACAGTGACAAAACTGGTTATGTTCCTGGGTTCATACTGCGACCCTATTTACAAAGCAGCTCTAGGGGGTTCAGATGGCTCTTGTTTTGATCATGTTTGCGACCATATATGTGAACATTAAAGCAAGTAGGATTTTTCTTTGAACGAGTATTAGGTGAATACATTTATTTTATGGATCAAATCGTGCTCTTATCAAATGGAATGGAGGCAGAATCAAGCTTTGGATGAATACCTGTACAAACAAAAGCATGCAGACACAGACAGGAATACTGCTTGGGTGCTTTTATTATTCATTTAGTCTCCTGTTTAAATAATTTCAACCAACCTATTGGTAATAGAACGAGTGTGATGATAGGTGACCAGCAACACACCAAGAGTAATGAAATGAAAAACCCAGTTGAAAATATTGTCAATGACTCTTAAGCTAGTCTTGGTGAACATTTTGAAGTAAAGAGCACTTTCCCTCTGAGGATTGGTTGTACTGCCCTGATCTGATGAGGGTTTCCCAACTGGGAATAAGAGATCTGAGCCTAGAAAATATGGCTGCGTTCATTCAAGAGTTCATTTCAAAGGAGTAGTTTTGTCAGCTCTTCCATAAAAGAGAAAAATATTTCAAATATTTATTTTTAGATTTGCACGTGGATAATAGAAATAAAATGATCTGAGTGATTTTTTTAAAAAATATTTCATATATAGGCTAATAACTATATGTAGCTTAGTAGGGCTTTTTTTCAGCAATGCCAGGACCGTGCTTTTACATGGCATGTCTCAGCTGTTGTGAAGTCCAAGGTAAAGTCGTGTGCCCTCAAACACCCAAGAAATAGTATTATCCAGTATGACACATGCCTAGATATGTCTTATTGTGATCATAATATAGCCTCAAGGTAAGAATACAGGACAATCACTTGTGTGTTATTTTTTCAATGCTGTTTATGTTTATCTACATCAAAGCAAAGCTTCTGCTAGAGCTATTTATGTCGTTGATCAATACAACTATTAGTGATGGTTTATAAATGCATGAGACAAGTTTTAAATTTAGCATGTACTTTAAAAATGAAATCTATTAGTACATTAACTTGATCATGTTTCATCTCTGAAAAGCCTGCTCATTTTGAAAAACACTTTTGAAAAAGCAGAATGTACCACCATGACACGAGAGATACTTAAAGTGTCAAACAAAACCCATGGCTGTGAATCACCAAAGTATGAATTAAAGAACTGATTTTTTTTGTGCTGAGGGTTTACTGTAAGGGTGGTGACTGTCCACATTTACTATCAGTAGGACCTGGAAAGGTGAGTACTTTGCACAGGCAGATTTGCCATCCTGTAAAACCACTTTGCGGAATCCTGTCCTGTGTCCTTCATTCACATTCTCCTTTGGTCAATGGGACTTTGGGACAAAGGTTTGGGCTTGAAGATACTGAAGGCTGTCAGCATGGAAAACATTGTTGACATATTCACAGCACTGAGATGTTTTAGGGTGAACTTTTGGTCCCCCTAATAGGTGAGGCCTATAGACCAATTGGCAGCCCTTCTGAGGAGTGAGGATTAAAACCAGCAACATCTCAGTGTCTGGTCTCTTGGGCCTACCTTTGTTGTGTAGTCACAACTGTGGGACAATTTCCTTCATAACGTACTAACATTAAAGTCAGTGATGATACTGCACAGATGAGTTCTGCTCTTTGAGTTTATTGGCTAACTGTGATGGGAAAAACACGGTGAATGGAAGTATGTAAACACAGTAAGATGGTTAAATGTATGCTTTAAACACAGGGTTTGTTGTTTGGAACTAGGAGCAGTCTCTGTTCTTTAACACCACTACCAGGGAGAATACACCATCTAATTGTCCATGAATACGGGTACCTAGATTCTTTTACTCTAACACGGAAAACCCTGTGATGTCTGAGAACTTGTTAAGCCTAGATGTTGTCCCTCTGCTTCCTCTTCATCGGTCCTGTGAGGACCATTTTCTCTTGTGAGAACTGGATCTTCCCATTCTCTGCAACGTTACTGTGAATCATCCTGCTCAACCTGCCAAGATTCAAATGGAAGAATAAGGTTTTCAAAATGATGAACAGCAGAGGGGAAAAAAATAAAATGAGAACAATCATGGAGGGCTCACTTTCATAAAATAGTACATATTAACCAATGTATGTTCCCTAACTTACCTTATACCTGAGTTTCATTGCCTTGCATTAGTGAAGTAATTAATTTAGCAGGAGAGATGAAAGGAGACAAAGAGATGACAGGAGGCATGTGTGAGAAAGGAGTCAAGTGTAGGTCTGCAATGGTGGGCAGTGGAAAAGTGTTTTCGACATGCATTTTGTAAATGTTAAGAGAGTGTAAAGGAGTGCACACAGAGCAGTGGGAGATGTGTCTTTTCTGCTATTTCATCCATGATCGTGTCCCGAGTGTCTTCTGATAATAGGGAGGGCGAAGTCCTGCAGTCCAAGGCAACATGTCTAATCTTCTTGTGTAGCTTCAGCCACTTACAGTGAGGGGTTAAACTAAAAGCCCCTAAACTAAAATGTTTCCTGCTTGGTTAGAAAATATATATATGTGCGTGTGTACTTCTTTTTAGACCCAAGGCTTCTTAGGGGAAATGCTGTATCCAAGGGCTGTTTCATGAGCTGGGAGTGCTGTACTAAACCTCTGGGGCAAATGTTTGCATTGAATTGTTGAAAGAGTCTGAGATTGGCAACGCCACCCTGCCCTTGGCTAATGAGCCTTCCCCGAGAGAATATCAAGTGCAATTACCTTTCAGGGAATAACAACATACCAAAGAACCATGGACCCTGCAGAGAAAAACGAAACACACATTCGTAGGTAGAAACCGCTATGAATCAGCATTAATTATCCAATAGAGGGAATGGGGTTGCAATAAGTCTCAGTTCCTGCCTCACACCATAGATCACAGCAAATGTGAGCTACTTATAGAAAAAACACTTGCAAAGTTCAGCTCGCCCCAAACCCCCTCCTCTCCCGCGTACACTTCTGCGCCCGGGCTGTGGCGGGGGGTTATGATTCTGGGACAAGTTTCCCGACCCCCAGTTTGGAGACGACTGGGAGAGGCGATGAAGGGGGCCGGTGGCGGTGAGGAACTCGTCAGCGGGACAGTGGATCTAAGGGGAGGATTGAGTCAAGGTTTCCCTTGCACCGAGGTGGCCGAGGACACCAGGCTTCCCCCCCCAAGCCCCCCAGGAGGTCTGGCGGGCGGGCAGGAGCCTTCCTTCGGCTTCAGAGCCGGGAGAACTTCGTCCCCCCACGGCTGGCCGTCCCGTCACACGCAGAAAGAAGGGACAACCCCGGGCCACCGGGTTTTGCTGCGCACATCCTCAGGAGGGACGCCGGGCGGGACGCGGGGCGCGGGGGGGGGAGCGGGGAAAACTGCGTATTTTGGGTTGAACGGCTGGAAAAACAGGTGAAAGCGCCCGTCCAGCGGCAGGGAGGTGCAGGAGGCTGCCGGCGCCGCCGTCACCCCCCTCAGCCTGCGCCCCGGGGCTCTGCGCGGCAGAGGAGCGCAGCGGCCGCGCAGGCTCCCGCCCGGTTTGCGCGGCCCCGGGGCGGCTCCCCGGGGAACCGAGAAACCCCGCCGCAAACTCTTCGGACGTGGAAACGGCGGGGAGAAGGGCCGGCTGCTTTGCTGAAACAAGGCACACGTATATTGAGTTTGTCAGGGATCATAAAATGTGAATTGATTATTCAAACAGCCATTGATTATAAAAGAATGCTTACTGCAGCAATGGGAAAGGTTAAAAGGAAATTGACCCTCTGCGTACGTGACATAAAGTCATTAGGTAAATGAGATATTCATACGGGGTGTAATCAAGGTCATGCTAATTTTATTTGCGGTGTTCAACTCAAATCTTGAGCTTCGTTTGGGGGCAGCAAATTGTCCCCGGGGGAGCAGAAACGCCAGGTAGACCCCAGGTGCCGTAAAAAAAAAAAAAAAAAAAAGGTAAATAAAAGCCAAGGAGGGCTTGCAAATTCCCCCCGAAACCCTGTGTCCGTGGCGGGCCACAGCCCGAGACACCGGCGCGGTGGCGGGAGGGGGTCCCGGCCCCCGCGGAGGAGCGGCGCGGAGCGGCGCGCAGGATCGGGCCTCCCCGGAGGGGCGTCCGCGCTTCCCTGCTCCCGGGGTCGGCTCCTCGGAGCCGGGGGAGAGCTGGAAGTGCAGGCAGTGTCAGAGATCCGCGCCTCTCCCGGAGAGGACGAGAACGTGTAAAAAAAATTAGATGTATTTATGCACATATTTATCCCCTCTAATTATAGAAATTAATCCTCTTACTTATGACTAAAAGGTAACGTCTAAGGCGTCCCTTTGATGTTTAACAGCATCATTTGTGGCTAACATTCCAACTGATTAAGGAATAATTGTTGTTAAATGCTTTACAAGTGGATAGTGTTTAATTGAGAGGCATTCATAATTTTACGGCTTACCACAAAATGAAACGTAATTAAAAACGCAGGAATTTCCAACTGATTTTATTCCAATTATGTTTATTGTTCAGACTAATTACTGCACAAGATGGGGTACTTTTCCCCATCTCTGAATGGCACACGTCTTCCAAATATACCCTTGCAGGTTTTTCTTTTCCAGGTACAGCCTT